AACACAGTGGCCTTTTGGATCCAGAAGGTTGAATTGAAGCTGAGAAGCATGGTGATTGCCGAATTCTTCCAAGATGCAAAGAGCAGGCATCCTCAAGTTTGAAAGGTCGTTGAACTTGATGACTTGATTCTCCACATCACCGCCTGTCGTCATTGCCAATACAAACAGCAGGAGCCCTCCATTTACCATGCGAGGTGCGGGTGATGCCGGCCCTGAACTCACCCTGAAGAACTTGAGCTCCTCTCAGCAAAGGACAAAGGCGGGTTATGTATCTGGGCGCGTCGAACCAACACTCATCCGCGAAATTTGATCTCATGGTCAAGAAGCATGCTTCAATCAACTCCATCTCACAACTCCTGATGCAAGACTGGGCCTCGGACTAAATGCCGGCCTGAGCCGAACCTACTGTTGCAGACGCGGCCTGCAAGATGACAGCCAGGCCATCGACCTGTTGTAGTGAATCTCGTTGTGTTCACATCTCTCGAGAATCATGCCACATGTTTGCCTGGTTTACGTGTCTTACTTTGTTTCGCGACAAGTGAAGCTGCCTAGCATCTTGGTCAGCCTGCATGCGTCCAGGGTTTGCATCAGGGTCCATCGAAGGTGGGGTCCGTCCTCGGATTCTACTTCTGAGCGGAGGAGTGATAACCCCGGTCGAAGTTGAAGCTCACTTCTAAGTCTCATCCCCTTCCACCTGCAGCTGTTCCCAGGTCGGTGAAGAAGCTGCTGCCCGTATGCATTGCAAATCAGCAGCTTCTTGGTAGACGATGCACTTGCCGCTGTCGTCAACGAAGAAACTGACTGCAAAAGGGCCCTTGTTAAGCTTAGCAAAGACTATCTGGAACCTTAACAGACGCTGGCTTTGCCCGGCTCCCGACGTACGTCAAGACAGTCACCTGGCGACGGCGATCCCTCTGTCCGAGATGTTCGGAACCCGACACTGGTAAGGACTATCCGCGTCTCTTGGTAATCAGCCGCAACCCTCACCCACAGGTTCCTCTGGGGACTTCCACTTCCAACCTAGCAGGGGCCTTTGAAATGACTTCACTGCGAGACGCACTGCGCAAAGGGGCCGAACGCCTTGGAGCCCGAACCTTGGGGCGAGCCTTAACCTTGGCGACCTGTGGCAGCAGTACAGCGGTTCTCGGTGTCAGGGTTCTCCTCCGTTCGAACTTCAGCCCAGGCTTCCAAGTTGCCCCTCTGCATTCAGGTCGGGGTCCTGATCCTCGAAGATAACAACTCCCCGGAACCGGATTCACCAGAGCCCTCACTTTCAGGCTGCAAGAAAATCCGTTCTCGGGCTGCAGGAAGCTCCCAGATCCAGAACGCAACCCCTTACGTAGCAACTTCTGCCCATCCTCAGCGATGCCCCTCGACCTCTCACGGAGCCAAACCGAGAAGCATTCCCAGCTCCCCGTTCACGCCTATGCGTAGGCCTCCCACGGTCCGCGCCGGACCCCTCCGTCTTGGCAGCGCTGCAAGCAGCCAGCCGCAGGCGACCCCAGGTGGCGCCGCGGGCGCCGGCGGCAGGCACGTATAGCTCGAGAGCAGCCTTACGGCTGACAACCCCGTTTCACCAGGTATCAGACCCTTTTTCCCCTTGTGCCTTGAGCCAAGTCATGGCGAGGCCGAGCAAGACAATACCCTCATGGGCCCTGTTCCGAAAGGCGTTGTCTCGGCTTGTGCAGCCATCTCTCTCTCTCTCTCTCTCTCTCTCTCTCTCTCTTTCTCTCTTGCTGGCGCTTGTGCAAAGAGTGTACCAGTGCACGACTTATTTCCCTCAAGAAGCTGTTCAAGCAGACATGTCCAAAACGCAGGCCCCACGGCGACCCGCCCTTTTCTATGTTCAAAGGGGCCAAAAGACAAACCAACCAATTGTTGGGGTCTCTATCTTGGCAAACTCTCTGCTCCTATCCGCTGAGGCCAGCTAGCACGTTGCCTCTTGTACGCTTGAGGCCCGAGCTGTAAGCAGCTGCTTCAACTCTTTCACCTCGGGGTGCGAAGTCTGCCAAGTCGAAATGAGAGCTGAGCCACTCAGTTGCAAGCCCCGCTTAACCCTTGGTTCCAAAAGGAAAAACAGGGCAATCCTATTGTCCCATGTGTGGAAACAAGAAAAATCAGATGTTCTCCCACTAATATACATACATGTTGATTTTTGCATCTAGGAGAGAAACAACTGATGCACTCCCCTCACCTCCCCGGATGCATGGCCAGGTGCCCATGCTGGGAGCTGCTCGAGCTCTGCTGCTGGAGGCAGCGGCACCGTCGGGGGCGCCGGGGCTAGCGGGTAGGGAAGAGTCGAAGGGGCAGACTCGAGGTGAATTTTCATGGGGCCCGGACCCTTTGGTGGACATCAACACACCCAAATGGAGCGGAGATTTGGGCAACTGCAAAACCAGTCACGACCGTAGTCGCAGTCGGTTGGTATTGTCTGGCCCCTCGTATTACTCAATTGTAAACACAATGTCGCTACATGACTCAATGACAAAGGAATATGAGTCATGAGGCTTTCACACATTCAACGCTTGGAGGATTCGAAAACCTCAACACCTTATATTCCCGTTCGTCGTGTGTTCACTGATGACTATCTGGAAGGCAGCTTGATCGCTCGTAGAGCCACTTCTGGGAGGTCCCAGCTACCGTCTCCAAGTTCACCGAGAAGTAGAGCGCCCTTGACATCAGTCCCTAACATGTGTCTGAGTTTCAGCTCAAAATCAGGTGAGCAGAGAGCTCTGAGCATCTTGCTTCCAACGTGGGACTGGCACCCAAAATGGGTGGGTTTTCCGGTTGGTTGCGCTGTAAAGGGTGAAAATCCGGCCCCAAACCCCAGAGCCTTTCGGAGGCGGCGTCACCACGAAGCCACCGCTGTTCCTCACGCCCCAGTTTCGGGTTTCTGGGTCCTCATGCTCCACTTCACTTGGGCCCGACCTGCCTGGAGTCCTTGAAGAGAAGAAAAAACAGTCAGCAGGGGCCGCAAATCTTCACACGCCCTATCAAGCACAGATGAGGGTGCAGCACTGGCCCGTGCCCAGGCCATATTCAAAAATGCCATGCTTAACCCAAATGGAAGAAGCCACCAGAAGGCAGACCCCTTTCGAAACCAAGTCAGCCAAGGATGGCCTGAGAACAGAAAGATCCTTTCCCAACTCAAAGGCATGGGAGAGATCCCTGTGGCTAGCTTGTCACTTTACAGGGGTGCTCTTGGAAATGTTGACCCCCTATTAACCAACCTCAGTTTATTAATTGGGGAGTTCCCTCCAAAAGTGATGATTTCCCTTGCCAACTCCTAGGGACACCCCGCTAAAACTGGGGTTGATTGGTTGGGGGTCAACATTACAGAACGGTTTGCCTTTGAACAGCCCCCGTTCGGACAAGCGGCTCTTCCCATTTTGGCCGCCGCTTCCGAGGCTCGGCCTGGCGTGGCGCTTTGTGCAACCCATCTTGAGCTTTCCCGCCCCACAACAAAACAAAAAAACACATGTCCAATCGCCCTCTTTATTCCTTCTCTCTGACCATCTCCACAAAAACAAAAGCAATCTCAAGCCATCGCGGCCTCGACCTCACATCTACTTGGATTTTCAACCTAGTGGGTTGCAACCTCAAGTCAATCGTCCCACTTACACCCATTCAAAGTGCACGTTGAACATCTCTCCAGCCTCGGCCGGCGGCTCCTCGCGGGTCTGGAACTCTCCCGTGTCCTCCTTCCTACCTGACAGTGGAAACTCTTTGATACTGTGGATGGACGAAATCCTGCACCACGTTGACACCATGAGAAACCAGTACTTGTTGGTACTTACGGGGGAATCATCCGAAACCAGGGGTTTATTAGGCTGCAGAATTTCGTCCATCCACTGTACTCAAGTGGAATTCCCATGTGAGTTGACTTCAGATCAATCCGGGACCCTATCCAGAGGAACCCAAGTCCTACCCCCCTGAAATGGATCAACCAACAGGGGCTTGTCATGGCCCCAGAGTCCGAAGTTGACACCGAAGATTCACAGAAAATGGCCACAAACCCAAGCACCGCTAGCTCAAGGATACAGACACCTCAGCCGAATGCTCTGTCTGGGAGTCATATCCGCGGGTCTACTCCATTGCATTCCAACAGAAGAAGCCAAAACAACACATGGCTTTGTGGCTCCACGTTTCATTTCAGGAGAGCAGCCAGGCAATCAATTGTGTTTGTCGTCTGCGGGTGCATCAAATGGATTTCTCTAACATCCAATCACTCCACACTAAAAGGAGGCTCCAATCAGATTCATCCAGGTCAAGCGCACACGCCCACTTGCAGACCCGTTGGCCCCAAATAACAAAAACAACTGCGAGGTCCAACAAGGCAACCAAGGGTTTGCGCTTTTGTGCACGAGAGTGGCAACTGCTGATTTAGCGCCATAGGGCAGCCATGAAGGTCATGACCTTGAATGATCCTTCACGGGGCACCGAAAAAAGTCACAGGTCGCCAATATTCCCCCTGGCTACAGCTCCATATCAGAACAGTAGGTAGGGTTTCATCCCATCCCAACTAGTGCTAAGCAGGTTTTGTCCATCCACAGTACGAAGCTCCAATTGGCTGTGGGCCAAAAATGGGGAGCCACAATCAAGCCCTGGTAAATGGAACCGAGGACTAAAAACCTGCGGTCCACTTCCTGGCTTAATTTTGACCCGTGTTCAATTTGGGAGGCCGTGCCTGTCTCGCTCAGGTTCTCTGGCTTCAGCGCCAAGGTCTTCTGAGCGCCATCCGCCTCGGGTCTCCAAGAGGTGCCACTTTCTCCGGCGGATTGCTGATTCCCTCGAAAAATGCGCATGGAAAACCACTCCCGGACATTTGCCAAACTGGGACTGAGGGTTGACACGCAAGCACAAGCAAATGAAGGGATACCAGGAATGAAGGAGCCTGCCTCAATCTTTCCCTGCGAAACTCGGATTTCTGCAGCTTCTTTTCTGGGCTTTCCAAACCATCCCCTATTTGGGTTGGTGTTTCTCCCAATGAGAAACCTTTTCCGCTGGTTGGTTTCCCGGAATCCAAAAGCGAACCCCTATTTAAAGAAACGCCAACATTTTGCGTCAACGAGGGGGGGTTGCCGCACTTTCAAGACCTTTGCTTCTTCGAATCGCGCAAACATGTGTGTGTGTGTGTGGTTTCCATTGTGTTTGCTGCAAACCTTGTCCTCGACGGCGTGAGGGGGGTGGAATGAGGGGGGGGGGGGATTGGGGGGGATTTGTGACGGTCACATGAACAGCGAACCCAAGCTACACCATGCCAGCACTTGCCACAGCTTCAAGACATTTGCTTCTTTCTTCGCATCGAAGAAACATATCGTGTTTTACCGTTGTTTTTGCGGCTAGGCAGCAGCATGAATGTACTGTCCCGCTTGCTGCACTAGACACTCACTTGGATATCTCTTGATAAAAGCCGTCATTCGAAGCGCGGCAACCCCCTTTCCTGGGGTTGACCCATGTTGTTGCCTCAGCTGCCTCAGAACACCATTCATCAATCCCACGGTTGCCATGTGGGCAATGTCTTCTTGTCTTCGTTGCGAGCCCTGGTGCCTTTCAAAACTGCGGCCGTTCTTTTTTTTTGCAAGGCACCAAACGGTGAATTCGAGCCCAATCGACACATTCCATCGCCGAAATGGAATTGTGTCAAATGCCTCCTCCAAGTGAGGCTTTCAACACTGACTCATTCATTGATTGAAAACTGTATTTCCTTGCTGAAGATAACAACTGCCCAGCCATGTGCCTGTTGTTGCTCACACTGTGGAAATCCCGCAGCAGTTGGGATCGTTGAAACCCTAGTGCTGGTTGATCGACACCTCCAATCCCAACTGGTGCTCCATCCATATGGGCTTCCCAACCATGTTCCATGGTTAAGGTTTGAGAACAGGGGTCACTGGACTTTCCATCCAACAGTTGCAACTTACTGGGGTTTCCCTAGAAACTGCCACTGCTGGAAGTCCCAAAAGGGGAAGCTGTGGAAACCCTGTTCAATCGGGTCCCTCAACTGGGCTATCCGCCTGAAGCCCAGCATTTTGTCCAGGTTCCTTGCAATGCCTTTAAGACATTAATCACCGAAGACAGCTCCATGAAGCTTGGCAGCTGACACGACATCATCCAACTTCCAGCTAATTCAGAGGATCCCTCAGGACAATGCAGGTGGTTGAGAAACGCTGTAGAAACCAGAAAACCAACGTAAAAGACGCCCCCCCCCCTCTCCAGCCACCTTCTTCCCGCCTCCAGCTGCACCTCCACGCGGTCGTTTCGGAAGCCCACCACGGAGGCCACGGTGCCGTTGAACTGAGCGCATGATGCGGTGGTAAAGCTTTGTTCTACAAATATGGAAAATCACAATGTTGTGTAAAAGCATATGTACAAATATACATGTATACGTGGTATGCATATATTGTGTATACACCTGTATCCACATTGTGTGTGCTTATGCATCTATCTATGTCAGTGTGTATATATATATATATGTGTATATATATATATATGTTTGCAATTGCATTTGCTGCTGAAGAAACACGTGTGCTGCACCCAAGCAAGTTTGGTGGCTGCTCCCAGATTTTGCTGGCACATTCCATTGAAAACATCCAAGGCATATGTATTTTCTTACAGGTATACAGTGCGAGTTGCGCACTTCTTAGGGGATCCAACCCCCACGCCTCGGGTCTCCCAAACAACGAGCAGGAGGGCTTGCAACCAGGGCACTAGTTGCCTTCTGGGCTTTGCCTTTGGAAGCAAAACAAAATGCAATCAAGGCTTATAACATGGGCCCCGGAAAGCTTCAAGAAGCCGGCGAGTCTGCAATGAGCCAACTGGACCCCACGAGATTGGCCAAACCGGGCAATCCCCGGTTTTTGGCGCACGTTTGCCATGCGGAGCCCGCGCCTGCGGAGCCCCCTTCAGGTTGGAGATCAGCACAGCCTGGCGCTCGCCAGGAAAAACCCGGCGTGGGTGTCAAGGAAAGGCAACCGGATAACCCCCACATAATGTAATGGCCATTCGCTATCCTATACAGTCCCTGTGAGACAAAGCCGATTACTGTCAATGGGAGCATTCCCCTCACCGGCAAGCGTCACTTTGGCGCATGTTGTTTCATGAAATACTCAAATCCTGTTCTCAAGTTCCAGTTTCCTTTCCTGCAGTCTCATTGCTCGATCCAGGGGTCCTCCAATTGCTCCCTCAGGCTTCGCCCCGTCTCTTTCCCTATCATTTTTGAGAATCCGCCTGACACCAGAGCCAGTCGGATGCAAATGCACCGGAGCCGGTCGCATGCGCAGGTCCGGGTCTGAGAGTCTCTATGGGGCTACACACGCGGGTCTTATGTGTGTGGCCACGTGATATGCGGTGGGTCTGGGGTAGGTCGAAGCTGCAGGAAAGCGGCTGAACGTGGGGCCGTGAATCGACGTCCAAGCCGGCTTTGACAGACCCGCAGCACACTTGAAAAGTACAGAAAGGTCGAAAGCTTCGGAACAGCTTGGGGCCAGAATCCTTCAATCTTGAACATAGGGACTTGAAGAAATGCAGAGCAGGAAGCACAAACAAGACTGAAAGCTTCAGCTGTTTGGGCGCTGAGCTGGAGAAGACCAGGACCTGTCCAGGACGGAAGGATGGTCACTAACATCGAAAGCTTACTCTCTTCATGCTGGAACAACAGCGGCCAACTCTACGGGAGAACAAAATCTCGAAAACAGTCGGCAAACTTCGGAGCAAAGACGGAAGAATTCTCCGAAGAACTGACTGCTGCAATGTGACGCTGCCCGGAATGGAGCCGCCCTACGGCTGCGATGTCATCAGCCCCCAAGTGCCACTACGCCGTAGACTCCGCAGACTCGTGGAAAAGTGGCGGCGCAAATCTGAGGGTGGTTGCTTATCCTCGCCTGCGTCGGTGCTTCCTCCTTGCTTCCTTGCTCACATTGACATGCTTACCTGCTCTCTTACCAGCACCCTCGTTGCATTGGCACGCTCGCAAGGGCTGCCCAGCGGTTTTTCTGCTTGTGAAGGAGGGTCCGAATCTTTGCCACCAAAACAAGACTCACAAAAATGGTGCCAAAGGGTCATGTTTTTTTAACCAACCAAAAAGGGCAACTTTAGGACACCTGCTTTGGAGTTCAGGAGTCACCCAGTTTGCTCTCTCATGGCCTTGCCTGGCCAAGCTTAAAGCCGAGCGACCTCAGCTCGCACGCGCGTTTGTGGAGGAGAATCGATTCTCCAGCAGCCGACTCTAAGTCGGGAAGCCATGAAAAAAGAGTCGCGAACAGAGATTCCATCCCGGGTGAGCAGTGGTCAACATGTCCAGACTTCTTTCTTGAAATAAGACAAGACTGAACCCACCACTCCAAATGCCAGAATTTGAACGCTGGCTTCATGCCTAGTCCACTTTCTCATTCGTTTTTGTGACCGACACTTGCGGGAGCTTCCACTTTGCGGGAGCTCCGGCCAAACTTGTTCAAGCCAGGGAGCTCGCATGCTCACCAGACTTGGGCCCTTGCTCGCTGGTTTCCTCCTTGAAGCTCCTGAGGCGAAGCATAGTGCTTGGTCTGTTTCCAAACAGGTGACGGAAAACATCGGGAGGTTCCCTTTCATGTCCCTCTCAAGCACCTTCCAAAAGAGGGACCCGGAACCCTCCCGGAAAACTCGCAAAAGAATCTGGCTGTTTGCGACCAAGCGCTTGCCTCTTGTGCTCGAGCTAGTGATAGGGACGCATGCGCCAGCTTTGAAGGTGTATCCCTGGTTCAACGCTTCCAAACAAGTCCTGGAAGGCGCCTGCTGAGCAGCCTCTTGCTTTTGGTGGCGCTTGTTGCACATGCCTCGGTCACAAGGCAACATGTCACAGGGAGGGTTTCCTCGGTGTCATAGTTTCCCAATACTCGGACAAGCAAAAACGCAAAGCTGGACTCTTTGTGCAACACTTTCTGTGGGCCAAGGAGAAAGCAAGGCGCCAAAAAGAGGGGCCATCATCTAAAGACGAACCGCGGGAAACATCACACTCCAATGAAACCCAAAAAATGGATGAATCATCCCTTGCCTTCCCTGTTTTAATGGCCGAAATTGGGGCCCGACTTCTCTGTTCCCTGAGCCCCATGTGCGCACCAGGTGAAATCCCCGGAACGAGGCTGGCTCCGAGCGCCAGGCCCATTTCTGTTTTGGCCATGGTGCTCCAGTCCACCCTGGCGAGGCCAGCTGGGAAACTCAGGGGCCAAACCATGTGTTAAAGAGCTGAAGGCCTGTTTGAATACTTTGTATATTGTAAATGTACACAAATATTATACTTCTATAAATATATATATATATAATGCACATGTTGCTTCATTTACGTATTTAGTTGTATATAGATTTACTCATCTATTTATTTATCTATGCATCCATGTCCTCTTGCCGCCCTTCAGAGAGCCTTCGAAAAACGGCCGGGAGCCACTTTGGGGGGCCTTTTTGCTTTCCCAAAGACAACACTGCGCTTCCAGCTCCCTTTGAAGAAGAGGACTGCATTGGGTCCCCTCTCCATGGCTTCGGCCCGAAAAACCAATCTCACCTAAGCCTTGGGATATGAGACAAATGTAGCCTGGGGATTTCCCATGGACTCGAATCCACCGCACAGTCTGCCAGGTCTAGCAGGGAAGGTAATGTGACACCAGATCGATTGCTGGATGAGAAGACACTGAACACGTAAAGAGAAAAAGGACAGCAAAGGAAGACAAACAACGGAGAATTACAGGAGAACAAACTCGACCAAAACGCGCTGAAAAAGCGCTGGAAAACGGAAAGGCAGGAGGAAAACCTGGACGAAAACAGGAATACAGTAAAAAGTTGAATGAAACGAACAACAAATAACAAAGCAAACTTTAAAGGATCACGACAATCGACGTCCCCCTACTTGCAAACCAAACCAAAACCACCAATGAATGCCTGAAACGAGTCGGAAAACCCAAAACCAAATTTAGAAAAAGCTTGGAGAAAGGCGAAACCCGGCGTGAAACCGAGGGAAACAAGTCGCTCCTCGGCTAACGGTGCCGGCTGGGCGACACCTGCGTGCCTTTCAGCTCGCAGCGCCGCAGGTTCTGCAGCGCCGCCTGAACGCAACCCCGGCCTTTCAGGTTGGCTTAGGGAAACCAAAAAAAAAAACATTTTGGGTTCATCCTAAAAAATGCACATATCCACTTGTTAGGAGTTAGAAACATAACCGTAAGAATAAATAGGAATGATAGCAACAAATATGGTGAATTATAAAAGACTTAGAATGAGAATGTGAAGAGCGAGAATGGCGAGAGCAACAAGAATACGACGAGACTCCCTTGGCGCGGCTGCTCCAACTGTTCGCAAATCCAGCGTTCAGAAGACTCCAAAGACACTGTGCACAACATGAACCCCGCCTCCGCCCCCTCTTTCAAAGCCATCTCCACCAAGCAAACACCCTGGGCTCGACTTGGTGCTCTCCCTCCCTCAGTTTCTCCCCCCTGTGTTTGGCAATGCGGATGTGGCTTTGCCCAAAACAAACAATGCATAACGAGCAGCTTCGGCTCCAAAGTGCCAAACACATCAACCTTTCGATCCACCACGCAACGCACTCTGCTTGCTTCGCATGGACACAACTCCCTGTAAAAACTTCGCCTCAACCATTGTTGGCTCCCCAAGAGGCACCGAGCCTGTCACATCAGCGGCATGAATGGCACACATCTTTCCAGGTGCGTCGCCCTTTTTTGCAACGCGCAAGCTGTAACAGCTGAGCGCAGAAAATCCTGGTGCTTCTTGTGAGGAGAAAGCGAGAACAAAGCACCTTTGCACGATGGAGAGGCTGGGCAGGGAGGAGCCCTTTTTTCGGTGACGTCTGCTTTCGATGGCAACTTCTGTTGGAACGGCGGCTTCTGTTGCTACAGCAAGTCTAGTCGTTGGTAGCGCCTTTCGGTGATGCTGCTTTCGGTGCTTCTTTTGGTGACCTTCATCCGTTAGTAGTGTGGCGAACACTCGTACCACACGTGAGCGACTGTCAGGCGAATACTCCGTACCGAAGGGTTGCCAAGTTGCAGACATGGTTTCGATGCTGTGTGTACCTCAGCTCCGCCTGATGCGCAGTATGCGTCTACGAATGTTTCTAGCAACCACTGCGCGCATGTGTTTCCAACTCGCTTATTGTGCTCGATGCGCGGTATCAGCGTGCCTTTTGCGAACACCACTTATTTCATAGAGTCCTGGCCCCCTGACCTAATGTGTCCTGGTTGAGTGACTTATTGCATCTTGCACATGCTTGAAAAGGCCATGACATACTCGTAGCGTTCTGGTTTCGGAGAACGTATTTCACTGCCTGGTTGGTCATTGTTCTAACCACCCGCGGCACTAAGAATTCTGCGATGCCCTCTTCATTTTGGAAAGCGTGAAATCTGTTGAGCTCAGTTTGGTTCTGGATTGTTTCTAGTCCATATACTGCTTGCTTCGAATAACAGCGTGATATACCCGAGCGGTCCACCTGATGTTAGTTCGTGCCTTGTTCCAAAAAGGCTTCAGTCGGTTGCAAGCGCGTTTATTCTGCAATTATGTTCATTATGTCTCGTCTGTTACAACAGTATCTGGGAGCAAGGTACCTAGATAGGCTGCGCATGTTATCTGGGAACCACAGAGCTATCAACGCACTCGTTCAGATTTGACTCCATGAGTAGAAAAAGAAGAGAGGAATGATGAAGGGAATGGATGAGGAAGTGATAAGTGTGTATGGCCAAGTCACACCTCTCACGGTCCTTCCCAGGCAAGTTCTTGTTTATTAATATTTGGATTGCTTGGGATAATGGCCATCACATGAGATAGAAAAAGATGGCCATTCGCCCATTTAATAGTTGGAGTTGGAGAGGCGGTTGGGATACATGGATGACAGGATGATATGGAATGAATTTCCTTTGTTTGCTCCTCTCGCCTCGGGTAACGGCTGGAGCTATAGATATCTATAAATCCTGTACATCTCTTTCTTACCAGCCCTCACGTGTCAAGTTAATAAATACGGCTGGTCTGTCTTTCTTCTTTAACACACACCAAAATCCCAAGAAATAGGATTTGGTGAGGGAAAGGCAAACAGTAATAAATTCACATCATGAAGAATCCTCATCAACACACTTCTGGATTCTTCTTTGACATGCTATATCTATCTTTGATTCCTTTCCCAGGGTGGTTTTCCTTTTGGCTTCCCTTCAAACCAATCCCAAAAAGGGTACCCAAAAGAATACACACACTAAATGGAGAAGAACCCAAAGGACATCCCCCCCCCATCCCCCATACTCTTCGCCCCTTTTTGCTCGTGTCAGGCCATGCACACGGCCACGGCCGCCAGGGAGAGGCACCCCACTGCACTCGCAGCGGAGGTGCCCGCCTAGTCGCCATGGATGGCTTAGGAACACCGGGTGCCAAAGCCGCAAGCATGAACAACCCTCGCCGTCATGGGCAACCGCATGCCAACATTCAAGACTCTGGGGGGAGGCGCACCACCCCATCGCATTAATACTTGGATTTTAAGTGCCAATGCCCCAAAAGCTTCTCTTGCTTTCCCCAATGTGGGTGTGTCTTTCCCAAGGTGGGACCTCCTAAATGTTAGCTTTCCTCTTGGTTTCCCTTAAAAACCACACAAAAAAGGTGCCCCGAAAAACACAGACCCGTGTGTTCACTTGATCCAAATCAGTTTTCCAGCCGCCAAGGACTTCACCGGCGCCTTCACCAGTGCCGCGCCCGCCACCAGGCCCGCCGCCAGCGTCACGCAAACCACCGAGGCCGGCCACCCACGGACTGCGGCGCGGCGGAAATCCGCCACGGCACGGCGCAGATCCTCCTGGGTGCCTCAGAGCAGCGCCGGTTCCTTTTGAGGGTGCCATGTTTGGGAACCAAAAGAGAAACAATTGGGGAAACCTCCCAGTTGTTGTTGTTGTTGTTTTTGTTTTGTGTGCTTATGTTCATTTATTTTGTTGTTATGTATATTGATTTTATTTTTTTGGGGGGTAGTGATGGACACAATTTCAGACACGAATGTCTTTTGTGGATGTACAATTCACATGTCATTTGGGGCTAGGGGGAGGCATGACCCAATTAAACCGGCCAACAAGGCAATGAAACGAGTACCTGACACCACAAAGCTCGCCAATCCTCCATACCTTTCCCGAACCAAAAATGGAGCCCGACCCGTCTTAGGAGCAAGAAAACAAAGCCGGCTTAGACGGGAATACTGGTTTCGAGAACTCCGGGTGACACCTCCAAATCTGTCACCTCCAAGTCTGTCCGCCAAGCTGAAGTCCCCTGCTTCTGCTCTTGCTGATGGACCTGTTTGATTGTGCCCGGTGTTCCATAACCTCGTACCTTACCTATGAGAGTTTGAGTTGCTCTGTGATTGATGAACAAACACCATACATAGAGTATGTAAACAGTATGTATGTAGATTGCGACTCAATTTGGCAAATCGGTTTCTATCATAAGCAGCCCCACTGGCTCAACGTGCCGTTGTCAAAACAAAACTGCAACTTCCCAGTGGCAACCAAAAGGCCTGCGAAAAAGCAAGTCAGGAAAACAAATGTAGCCCGGCTTGTGTCTCTCAAAAACCGGCAAACCAGGCGAACGGATGGATCAAAGCAGCCGTTGTTCTCGATGACCTCGTCTGCCAGCTTCCGCTGCGCCTCTGCCGAAAGCTGCGCCGCGATCTTCTTTTTGGCCTCGAACACGCAAGGCGCAAGACTGGGTCCACGCAATTGTGGAATCCCTAAGGTAGGGAGTTCAACCGCTTTTGGATTAGCTTCCAAGCAAGAAAAGAAGGGTAAACCATGTGAGTTTGGGTAGACAAAGCCGGGCCGGTTCTAGGACACAGCCAGTTCAAATGAGTCACGTAGGTACAAGGAAGGTGGGTAGTTGAGAGCCCTAGGGTTCCTTAGGGTGGGTTCAAAAGGGTTCTAGGTTCCCCCCCCCTTGGACCAACCCTCGTAGGAACTCCATGAATGTAAGTGCAATCCTCAATTTTACGCTCTGAATGGTGGCCTACAAAGCGAAAGAGAGAAGGCCCCATTTGGGGAAGCCGCCATCAACAACCCAAAAAAGGAACCAGGAATTCAGCAAAGAAAGCAACACACATCCACATGGATTTGGATGCAAAGGATTGCGCTGCGAAAGGTTCAAGGGTTGTTGATCAAAGCTGGCAATGCAATGCCATGTTCCAGTACCTTGCGTGCAAGAGTGTGGGGAAGCGAGCCATAGTCGGTGCAACTGCAACGGCATCAGGTTGATACCTCAGTCTCCTGTGGTACTTTGTTGAGAGTGGCCGTAGCCCATGTCATCCCCTTTGGGAGGAATGACGACGGCCGCTCCAGTCGTGTTGGGCACGGGCAAAGGACAGCATCCGCCTTTTGGGGTGCTGTCTCTAGAGTACTCCACGGGCAAATGTCTACCGTCTACTTCCCCATTTTGCAGAAGAAAGGACTTCTGCAAAGCCAAACATGATAGAGCCTCATCCTCAGCGAGGTGAAGGAAATCAACCGAGTTACTCACAAACAAGCTGCCCATATTGTGTGAGCCATGCTCAGAACGACGTGCTTCCCTAAAGGACATAGCAAGTCCCCTGGTTTTTGTGGGGAAATTTGGTGAGCCCCCACTGTCCCTCTCAAATGCGACTGGAAATTTGGGCCAAACCTCATGTGGGTCTTGTAGTCCCAGTGCCATCCATGTGATCAACCTGCGTTGGCCTAAGCAGAAGCAAGTATGGCGATTAACATCATGAGGGTATAAATATGATTGGGGACCAATCAAAGAGGTCGCCATTTAATGGGCACGTGTTTATGTTGAGGGCACCCATTGGCTTACCGAATCCCACAGGAAAACCCAAGCCATTGCTGGGGTCCGCATGGGGAGTGATGCCCGCCAACCAATGCTGAAGATGCAAGTATCCTGTAGGTGGATTATCCCAGCATTCATAGGCCATCAGCGTGGACTTTGTCGCAGTGTCTCTGGATGCTTTGCACGCCAACTCTCTGAACATGGTGTGACGAGCCGATTTCCTATGGTATTCAATCTATATCCCCTTTAAGCATCACCCCACCTAAAGGAATCTCCCTGGTTCACTTCTTGGAGGATTGGCAAACAAAAGCAAAGCAACTTTCTAAACTGGTCTTTCCAAAAAGATTAAAGTCCAGGAACTCGGGAAGTGAGTGACGGGCCCCCAGAGCAAGTGATGTCCAACCATCAAGTTGACGACAGTCGCTTCGCCTCCTCCTCGCTGAGCTCGTTGCGGGACATGAGCCGTGCAAGCTGCACCTCCGGCGACCTCAGGATGTTGCCAAAGGCGCCACGTGTGTCCCGCGTGAAGGAGCCTCAATTAAAAGGTTGGCAGCCAATTTGTTGAGGTTGAGCATGGTGGCAAAGGACAAAGATGGGATCATATTTGCGCCAGAGGCCGCCGCGATCGAGAAAGAAGAATCTGGCCATTGATCCATGGCGCTCAATCCGAGTGGCGCAACTACACAAACCGCTGCCATGTTTTGCCTGCAACATGAGAGGTTTGGTGGTGTGCCTCCCTTGGCTTCCGGGTCCAGGGGCCCGACACCACTACGACGAGCACAGCTGACAGAAAGAGGCGCCGCAGCAGGGGGAACTTCAGCAGCAGTGGCACGTCCAGCACGATGCACCTGTGGCCTGGGCGCAAGGGCCAGAAGTGACGCTGCATCGGCTGGGGTAAACATGTGGGTCGGCCCCTTGTGGGTCCTCACCACCTTTGCAGCGGCTTAAAACCATCTGAAGAGGGTGTGGGGGAGGAGGGGGGGGGGCTGGCGCCCCTGATTGGATCTTTCTTCAAACTCGGTCCAATTTGCTAGTAAGATGGATGGGAAATCAACCCCCGTTTCAGACTTTGCGCATCCCTAAAATCGTCAAATCAGCGGTACGTAGAAGCAACGAACTAAGCTGCGGGTCTTGACCTTGAGGGCCTTTCGGCGGATGTGCTTGCAGCCCGGATCAACGGGGCAGCCGAGCCAGCCGATCCGCCTGCCATCATCAGAGCACAGGTCCGCCTCAGGATGGCCCAGAGGATCGCGCCGTGGGTCGCCTCGCCGGCAAGCGAACTGGGCGCGATGCGTTTTCATGGGTCCCGTACCCTTTGGACATCAGGTTTCGGGACACACTCACTTTCTTACACGCAAAAAGGCAACGTATTTGCTAGTGCGTCGGCAGGCCTCGTCTGAACAAAACTTCCTCACCTCGAAGTCTGTAAGAAAACCGAGGGTGAGGGCGTTCAGATGAGCCACCGAAAGGGCGGTGAGGGAGGGCTTTCAAAAACAGGCTCCTTGAGCGGCACACACCTTCGGGAGTGCGCTCGTTAGTGTCACTGCGTACAAGCAAGCGTGCACTTCATGACACACTCACTTTCTTACACGCAAAAATGAACAAAGCTTCCTCACCTCGAAGTCTGTAAGAAAACCGAGGGTGAGGGCGTTCAGATGAGCCACCATAGGTGCGACGCCTCTGCCCATCTTTCGCGCCGGAAGCCCTAATTGCTCACCGAGTCAAAGAGTCACCGTGCAAAGCGCTATGCAAGATGCGCCGGAGTGTCTCGTCCAAGTTGAAGCCGAACCCAACCCTCTGCGTAGGCATTGGCAAAGCAAAAGCGGCTGACTGCGTCACTCACATTGGCTTCGCTACACACTCTCTGCCATTCCGGCCACCACTGTCTGTCCTCAATCAGAGACCACACAGCTTGAGTAAACTTGTTAATTTGAGGATCCTTTCCGTATCCCTTCATGAGGCCTTGCCGCGCTGGTTCGTTGTCGATGAACAAGAGAAGGTGCTGCGGTAGAAGACTTTGGAGGGCAACTAATGGAACAACTTGCGATGTAAGCTCTTCGTGAACTGAAGTGCCTGGTGAACCACATGGAGCCGAAGCCGTTGCTGAAGGACGCAGGCGCAAAGTTCAAGGTCTTTGGCAGGTGCTCGCTTGGGCGCACTCGTAGCCCTCCGAGCTCGAAGAAGGCGTCGGCGTAGACGACCGCAACCTCAGGCACCTGGAACGACAAAGTCCTCGGGCCAGCCCGTTGCAGGCGTTGGCGTAGCCAGTTGATTGCTTCCTTGATGGCAGTACTGAGCGGCCAGTCGCGCTGTCGCCGATGACGGTCGGCCCCCGCCCCAAGGTGGAGAGGCCGCAGCGCTGCCTGACCTGCTTGGCCGAAGAGAGACTGCGCCACAAACTGCAATTGGCGCAGCTGCGTCTCGAGGCTTCAGCTGCTGCTCATCCAACAAAACCTGCTTGAGCTGGCTGTCCAGACGATCCACTCTTGTTGGTATTGGGGCTACAACTGCCTTGTCCTGAAACAGCTGAAGTTCAACTCCTTGCAGCACCTGCGCCTGTTTTGGCGGCTGTGCTTTGGAGGCCTTGAACCTCAAACCGAGGGCAGTGCGGCTGTTTTGGACCTGCTGAAAACTAGAGGTCGCCATCCGCTGTCTCGGGTGCCCCCAAAATCGTCCACAAAGTGAAGTGTGGGCGTGATGAGCAAACAACGAGTGAGCCACGCCATGAAGTCTGCCACTCTGCAATAGCTCCAGGCACTGGCAGCACTCCCAAACATCAAAGCACCCAAGAATCATGAACGTGTGGTTGGGGGTTCTGGCAGGCAACTGTCTGTAGGCTGCTTCGTGATCTAAGCCCCAGGTGCATAGCGGGGACAAATCACCATCTTCCCTGATTGCCCTTGCCACCTGTACGAAGGCCTGGATGTCATGGTAAGCTGGCGAGTCGGGGACCTGTATAGTTCTGTTACCACCTGAACGACGCCAGCCCTCTGCCCGTCTCACCTTCGGCTTGTTGTCGGACCGCAAATGCGAAGGAGACGGCGACCTGCCCTTTTGGAACGGCAGAAGCTCCGAAGTGTGCTGAAACTGGGGCAGGCCAACTGTCCTCTTGGGCCACTCCAGCGGCGACTCAAATGGCCCCTCCATTCGTCCGATGCGCACATCCTCGGCAATTTCCCGAGCCATGATGAACCAATCTTCATCAACTTTGGCACGCTGGAGCTTCTGCTTTACAAACTCGTGGTTTTCCTTGAAGAAGGTTTCAAGCGGCGTAGGGTTCTGGTAGCGCTCGTCTTTCCGAAGTCGCCAGCCAGCACCAGGCGCTATCTGCCCTAGCAGAGGGAAGCCTTCTCTCAACTCGTTGAACATGGCCATGTCTGGCCAGCTGAGTTTCCGTGCCAACCATTCCAAGGCAGGCACCTGGAGCGTGGTCTGGCCCCTTGATGTGCTCCCCAAGGTTCGCGAACCAATGGCCAGTGGTGTCCTGGGGGTCGTGGACGAGGGCATAGATGTCCTGCACGATGCGCCAATGTCGCCACACAGGAAAGCCATTGGCGCAGACCTGGTTCAAGAAGAGGGCGGCCCTGCTGGCTGGCTGTGCAAAGCACGCCTGCTGGCGCCCCAATGCTCCGCTGGACATTGTATGGCGGACGCCTGCAGCACCGGAGCCCCGGAGGATTCCCAAATGCCAACACAAAGTCAAAAGCGGTCCCGCCGAGCGCGCAAAGCTCGTGATTGGGGCCTTGAAATGCTTGAGCGGGCTGCGCCACGAAGACCGCCAAAATGAAAAACCACTTGGCGACGCCAAGGCGCCACCCGCTGGCAAGGGCTCGATGCCATTGCTTGTCTGAAAGAGAGCTGGTCCATCCTCTGGGCAGGCGGTGAAGCTGCTCTTTGATCTCAGCAGTTGGCAAGCAAAGTTTGCCAGACTTCGCTCTCCACATGTTGTCTGCGTCGTAATGCTAGGGTGCATATTGTCTGTTGCCATGACCGGCCTTGGTTGTCAGAAGCCACCTTTGGGTCTTGGCATCCTCCGAGGGCGTTGTCAGGCACGGAAGGCTGGCCACTGGAGGTCGCCGAGGTCGTAGAGGTCCAACTTGTCCTTGGGCTGGCCAAGTCAACGTCTGCCGGTACTGCTTCACCACACTGCGCGGCATGTAATCATGGGAGGCATCGCAACTGCAAGGCACAACCGAATCAAGGAGATTGCCGCATCGTGCAGCGGGCTTTCTTTTTCACTGTTAAGGCTCTGGTTGGGCGAGGGCAAAGGCTACATTCATGCCCCTGCTTTCAGTGAAAGCCTGCACATTGTCATCCTGGCGCTGGGATCGCGGGGCAGGAAACCCCACCCCCCCTCACCACCTCTGCGGCGGTGAGCCAACCCAGTCAGGTGCCACGGGCCCGACTCACAGGCCCCGCACCCTCTCCCCACATGCCAGGGAGCAGCGCCAAGAAAAGCGCAGACTTTGTCGCTAGACTCTGCCCCATCTTCAAACGCAAGCACCGAGTTCAATTGTGCTTGAAACGACATGATCACCCTGGCGCTGGGGATCGCGGGGCAGGAAACCCCCACCCCCCCTCACCACCTCTGCGGCGGTGAGCCAACCCAGTGGGGTGCCGCGGGCCCGACTCACAGGCCCGCACCCTCTCCCCCCACGGCAGGAGCAGCGCCAGGACGTCAGACCCTCTAGCACAGGCGGCAGGGGAAACCCCATCACTCCTTCCGTCAATGCCAAAGCGGACTCAAGCTGGAACTGCTGAGAAGGGCAACTCAGGGAAAGCTTGTGCAGAAACTGATCTTCGTGCTCCAGGCGCCCAGACCCATTTCCGCACTTGAGCCCTAGTGTCGAAAACCAAAGCTAACATCGCTTGGTTTTGTGACAGCGCCTGAAGTCATCACAAAGTATGACGCCTCCAATACTCACGCTTTTTTCAGCGAAAGGAATGGTCGGTTTTGTTGGGCTTGGCTTGTACGGAAACAGGTCTTCGTGCTCGAGGCGCCCAGAACCATTTCGCAAGCTCTGAAGTTCTAGGCAGAACCAACATGCAAGCAATGTGTGCGAAGTGACATGCTTCAAGGAGTCCAGCAATTCAGATGTTATGCTTGTTTGCGTCACACAAATTCAGCGCAACGGGCAGTGACCGGTCAACAAGCGCACAACCCGAAAGCAAGAACAAACTGAAAAGTTGTCAATTCCAGAAACAACCGGCGCTCAACGTCGCCAAGCTCAATGGCAAAGCCGGTGGTGATCTTCCCAAACTGCAACAACACCTCAGCGGAGGGAGGACAGGATCATAATGCAATCGGTCAGCGCCGCCCACCAAAGAAGCCACCGTACATGGGTGCAAGGTCGCACACCTTTCAAAAACAGGCTCCTTGAGCAGCACACACCTTCGGGAGTGCGCTCGTTAGTGTCACTGCGTACAAGCAAGCGTGCACTTCATTGCAAATTCATGCCCACCACTTTTGGGGTGGTTCCAACTGATCGGGGATATGTCCACGGATTGATCCCTTTTAGGAAACCCCAATTACAACACGAACCACTCTCCCAAATACCACGGTTTGGCGTGTCAACTTCCGGTTGTCTGAGGCCCGTGTCCCCCCGGCGTCCCGCAAAGGCGGGACAAAGGGAGCACACAGGCTGCGCAGAGAAAAATGCTCCAAGCCATTGAGTGTTCTTTAACCCACTTAGTATTTTTGTGAAGGTTAAAAGAGAAGGAATCTCTTGTGCCTCCATAAATTCTGTCGCGAAAATGGCGCCCACAAATCGAGAAGCCTTTGTGCAGTTTCAGCCCCTAAGACCCACACCTTGTGTGCCTTGTGAGTGGTTCACAAGGCCGCGCGGGAGCCGAGTTCGGCTCAGCGTTAAATGAAATCGCAAAAGGAAATTCAGGACCCACCCAACCACCCACCCAACCAACCAACCAAGTGACGGCTTGCAACTCAGAAGTTGACCTTGCTCTTTCGCTAGACCTAGAAATCTGACTCGCCAACTCGCCTTGTCCAGCTCCCTCCTCTTCGCCGGATCTGCGAACACGATTTTCCCCAGCTTCTCCCGGTCGATGATTCCCTCCGTCAGGATGCCGCTGCCGAATGCCGCCACGACTCGGCGATGGACCGGGCCTAGGCAGGTACACCAAGGTGAGACTAGACGGCACAACTCCCTTCATGGGCGGGTAAGTAAAGGGAAGCCAAAATGGGAGAACTATGCCATTTACTTTCATGGGGCATGCAATTTAAGTTGAAGCATTCCCAGAACGGCCAGTCACCAATGAAGGGCTAAAGTACTTCTGGCTAAATACTCCGAGACGCATTGCTTTAAACTTGCGAGCCTTTTTCACTGGCACTCCAAGAGCTTGGGCAAAGCTGCTGCAAGAGCCCTGCCTGCTGGATCGGCCAGCAACTGGTGAGCAATCTTGTCCGCGTCTACCACTGGCCATCCTACCAGTGGGCGGCAAGCCCTCCAGGCATGGGATCGAGGTTTGCCTCTTGGCCTTTCGCAAAATGGGTCTGGGACACCCAAAATGAAGAGGGTGTGCACTTGTGAAGTAGCGCAACCTAGGCATCTTCATAGGGCCCGGGCTTGCATCTTGGGCTTGGGATACCGTCTTTGCTGCTGGGTACTTTTATCAATCAGAGGCCTTTGACAGAGAGAATTGGGCGCCCTTTGGTACAGTAATTGAGGTGGGGCTTCATGTTTTGAGGTGGTTCGCTGTTGAAACTACGTATATAAAGAAGCCATATCATCCCTCTCTTATCAGATACGCAGCCTTGAAACAAACGAGCATATTCCAGAAGACCCTTCTCCCCATCCCCCCTGTCCCTCTCAGCCAACAACGAAAAGCAACTCCAGTCTTTTCCAGCCTCCCGAGCCACCTAAGGCAAGCCCCCAAACCCAAGCTCCATCCGGCTCCATCCAACTCGTAGGTTGCCAAAATACTCAGCCGATTTCGCAGAACCCAAAGCCCAAGCCCCAAAAGCTGAGGGTCGCAACACAGACCCATGTCTACCATCTCCCCCCCAACCCCCCCCAACCCCCCCCAACCCCCCCTCGCTCCCCCCCTCGCTCCTTCCGGCCCCTCGGCCAGCAACGCGCTCACCGTGCTCTTCCCGCAGGCGATGGGCCCTGTGAGCCCCAGCAACCGCACCATGGCTTCGGCGTCTCGCGGCTTCGGCGTCTCGCGGCTTTGGAACCAACCCGAGGTGCCAACTTTTAACCGGCGGGTGGCTTGATTTAGCCATTTGCCCTTGCCATTGTCATATAGCTTGGGTCCTTGCCTTTCTTAGGCCAGAAGTGAGGCAAGGGGCTTGCTTGGCTTGTTCAACAGGAGTCTTGCAGGCGATAAGCGGACTATGGCATGGCACAATGCCCTGCTCGGGTGTGTTTGCTGACCCCTCCAACAATAGTCCATGTCTGAGTTGTGAGTCGTGAGGTACTTCACATTTGACGAACAAAATCGCTAAAGTCTGGGGAGCAATTCTGCTTTCTGCATCTGGCTTTTGGACTTGCTAGGCCTAACTGCACAAGATTGAGGTGCTTTGCTCTAGCTCACAGTAGCTGATCAGTTGCAAGCTGAATAGACTCGCGCTAAAGAATATGTGCCCGAGAGCCCAAACGCACGACATCGCGCGAGAGCGCAAAAATTGGAGGGCGGATGCCAAGTTTAGGAACCACTCAGTCACCGGCTGGCGGATTGGTCATCTTCACGTGTCTCACTCGCCCGTGCCTCAGAGCACACATCTGCGCAAAACCCTGTGAAATGAGTTCAGGAGAAGAACGCTGCAGTTTTGGCGTGAGAATCCCCAAGTCTGCTTTTTTGTGGAAGGGGAGCCAAAAGGATAAAAGGAAAACCACGTTGTTTGGTCCCAGATTCTTAAGACACACCCACCTTCCACTCCACCGAGTTTTGCTTTTGGCTCAATTGACCCCGCCGCTTCGAGGTCCCGTCGGCGTCAGCGCTTGTGAGACATCTGTCTCCTTGATGCCTGGGACGTGTACAAACAAAGAAAGCGCAAATGCTGAATTTGAACAGAGTAACACAATGGACAGCGTTACTATGCCTATGTTCAATCAAAAATGCCGAAGACACTATCACATGACCATGGCTAACCACTACTCAACCATGTCCATTTGCTCAGCTCCTGATTTCATGCACTCGTTTAGCAATGGTACGGTTTATGACAGTTTATTGAGCTCCAGCGAGCTGCCTTTCCCTTCCATGCTCCACACTTGTCTTGGGAGTTCCCCAAGGTCCAACTTCTGCGGCGCAAACATGAAGCCCGGACTCCCTCAGTTCCCCATGTTGCCCCAGTGGACCAAAATCAAGCGAGGATTTGTCTGGCGAGCGGAGTCCAACATGAAGCACTACAAAAAAGAATTGATTTTCAAATAGGTCGGTGGTTTGCTGCTTAAGGAGGGGTTTCCCACTTCTCTGCAAAAGCCAGGGGAATCCAAAATTTAACTACAAACCAATCCAAACCGCCAACTTCGGGAATCCAAACCGACACAAACTCCAGACATGAAACCAAAATCGCCGCCTAGGCCGATGGGCGCCACCACCAGCTCCCAGCCTGCACTCCGTCCCGAGCCACAAAGTCGCTTGGAGAAGTTCCCAACACCTCTCTTCTTTCAAAGAAATGGACCTAAATGACTGCGGTCAGATTTAAGGTTTCCTTTTGAAACCACAACAAGGTACCAACTCAAAAACAAAAGAGTAAGTCACCCAAGTGGCGCAAAGCAACCAGTCCCAAATAGTTTGTGTGCGTGGTTTAGGGTACCCTTGGCACCTTGGTTTCAAGGGAAGCCAAAAGGAAAACCAATGTTTGGGGGGTCCCAACCCCTGTTAACAACCCCTGTTTTCATGGGTACCCAATGTTGACGACCCAAAGCTGTGTTTGAGGCTCGGGCCGCAGGATGGCTTTGGTTGGAGGTTCGAGTCCAAGAGCGACAGCCTAGGGCATTGGATGGATTGGATGGGTGTCAAGGCCATGTCAACCTCGGGTTTGGGGAGGGGCCAAAAGGAGCCACTCGCTTTTTACGGGGAGCCCTTGAATTGTGACGCGGAAACATGTAACATGCTGGGCTAGCCAACAGCTCGCTCTGGGTGGGATGCGAAGGATCATGATGCCAGGACACATCATATTCCAAGAAGTGTTATGGGATTGCATAATCAGCCGCTGGGTCAGCCGTGATTGCCTTCAAAGGACGGGCTTGCTGTATCTTTGAGACTTGTTCCTGACATGGGCAGTTCTGTCTACTTGGAATTGGATAGTTTGCTCCCGCCAAAGCCTCGTACTGGGAATTAGATAGTTTGCTCCCGCCAAAGCCTTGGATACTATAAGCTCGAATTTCCAAAACGCGGAACTCATAAACGTGGGCTTCGTGTCACATACCATAAGCTCGAAATAGCTTCAAACACAAACTTCCTGAATCCATGGTTTAGGGTCACAGGACACACACGCCGATCAGAGCAATACAGCATCTACTGCTTTAGATGACTCTGAGTGTGTACGCTAGGACGCACTTCTTGCACGCGCGGCTTCGCTTTGGAGCTGAGGCAGCAGGACAGCACGCACAGCACTCAATCCCAACGGTCAGCGCAACGGCCCAACGGGGGGCGCCGTCTCGCTGACGGCTGAAACCTCATCAGTGCACCTGGGTCCTTCTGCCGGCTCAGAGAGCGCCTCTCGTGACTGAACAATGCGTTCCAGCGCATCAAACACATGTCTATTCTGATAGGTGGAAACCATTTGCTAGACCCTGCGAAACCGGTCGGCAACCCTGTCGTCTTGACAGGGCCGGATCTGTCTTTGGATCCTCACAAGCTCTGCTCCCGGAGTTCCAGAACCGCGTCACGCAACGTCTCATACTCCTTCGCACATGATGCCCATGGCCCTGTGGGCAAACATGGTCTGCTACTTTCATCAGGCAAATGGCTCATCATCGCGTTGATTGCCCTCTTGGCCGTCTAACGCGTTTCCACTTGAGCTCTGCAAATGCCCCTCCTCGATGTGGTTGTAGATGTGCGCCGAAACACCTCAAACCATCCAAATTCAGCAGCAGCTGCATCACAGCCCGTGGCCAGCTTGGGCAACACAGCTAAACATGAGTGGCTAGTGGCCAAAACATGTAAGGAGGTCAATGTGGCCACCAGTTTCCAAGCCCTAGGCCTCTGGAGACCTGTGCCAGCTGAAACTTCGTTTCGGCCAAGCTTCGAACATAAAGCTTGCCAGACAGTGCCTTCACCGGCACTTCAATCTTGCGGGCGTACAAAGCATTTTGGACCAGCTCTGCCTCGTCGTAGCCGTGCCTGACGGGCTCGCTGGGACCTCAAGATGTCCCCCTTGCCTTGCTGCCATACCGCTGTTCCCCGCTCCCCACCCACCCCCCCCTCCGCCGCTTTCGCCGAAAACCCCGCCTCCCAGGTGGCAAGGCTTTCAGCTCCGGCAGCTGCACCAAAGCCATGGTGCTCAACAGCTCCTCCTAACCGAAGTCAAAAGCCCACCCGAAGATGGGCTTGTTTCAAGGCAAAGCGGCACAGGATAGCATCCAAGTTCACTTCTCATGTCGAGTGTGTTTGATCTGACATGGCTTTGTCTTGCTTCAATGACTGTGCAAAGCGTACGGATCGCCTACGCCACACTCAGAGCCGCTGGGCCAATTGAGTACAAATTTACCTACGCCCTGCCTACGTCTGCAGCAAATCAAGACTGATACTTGCACAAACCTGCTTACGCGGCGGCCGGGCGGCCTTCTCAAGCCTCAGAAACGCTGTGTCTCACACCTGTGAAGCCATGTTGTGACACCGACAAGCAAAGGCGAAAAGGAATCTATTGGATTTCCTTGGACGCACAGGCGCGCGACACTCAGAACGCAGCTTCCCACATGAATCCAGGGCAAGATCATGTTTTCGCAGTAAAAAGCCTACTTCTTTCTTCATGCGCCACGCATTTCCCGCAGGGGTATCCTTCATTTGGAAAAGGAGGCGAGCCATTTGGGAAACACCCACCGGCTCGGAACATCCCGACACCCATCAAGAGAGGTCCTTTGCCCCGGCCGCAAGGGAACTTGCTTGAAGGCTATACCTCTGCCGATTTCAACAGAATCAACCGAAAGAACCAACAAAGCTGGGCTTGAGAAACCTCCATTTCACTGTGTCTACCAATCAGGCAGAGGAACATCCAACTTTTGCCGGGCTCCAGCACCTCCCACCCAAACATTCCAAGACGAAGCCAAACAAAAAGCCCTTTCAACTGGCTTTCTGGGCGTAAATCAAACGGTTGATCTTCGCTTTCCTATCTGTTAAAAGTAAAACAGATCGCATTTCGGATTCACCCTGATCAACATGGAACTTCCAAAGCAGCCCTCCAAAAATGGCCCTAGACACGCTTAACACGCAACCATCTACTCGGTCATGCGCAACCTGTGCCGCATACAATTCCCGGCTCCGGGATGCCCAGTTCAGTGCCCCAGGCGTCAGCCAGCAGCATCGCCTGGTGGAGTGATGTTTGGTAACATGTTTGTAAAGTTTTATATGGGGCTGTCTCTAAAATAGGGGAACCTTCTACCCCAACGAAAATCGGGACCCCAAAGGAGATCTGTTTAAAGATGGGCTTTGGAAGTTCCATGTTCATGAGGAGCCGACATGTGACCGCTCTAGCTGCCTAGATCCCATCGGTTGGCAGCATGGGTGGGGAGATCTTGCGAGCTGCTTGCCTGAATGGGCTCCCGTTTTGCAGGCTTCATGTTTGCCATGACTTCCGCTTGGCTTGGTCTGGTCAGGAATGTCCGACCACTCAAAAGTCATGAAAGCAACTGCGACCCCCACCAACATTGGTCCAAACCGACCGTCCAAACAATGATATTATGGGCTTGTCTCAAACTGAGGGTACCACCAAAGTCAAAGGCTTCTTTTTGGGGTTCTCTTCAAGACTTGCTAAAGGGGCTTCCCTAGGCACCAGGTTCGATGCAATCTGAACGCCATCTTACACACCTTATCCAAGCAGAAAACACAAAGAATTGTACGTTAGTCGTTTTGTTTGACAACACGGGTTGTCGCAGCACGATTTGCAACACTTGCCCTAGACCCATTCTGAGCCAAAAGAAGCAGCCCTCCTTTCTGGGCCCCTTGTCAGGCACAAGAGCCACCGGTTGACACGTCCAACCAAGGCACAGCATCTCGGGCCATGTAGTTGCAGTACGTGCGAGCTGGCTCAATTCCCACCTGAGCTCATCAAACAGAGCTACGCGTCCACGAAAAGAACTGGCTTGCTGGTGCGATAAGTAGGGAATGAGAGAATGAACCTGGGGGTCCCCTCAAAGGAAGCACAAGGGACGGTTTATAGGAGTCATTCCCACCAGAAAGCTGGAGAGGTTGCAAAGGAGTCAACATCTTTCAGGCACCTGAATGAGCGCCTTGCAAGCTTGATTATGGATCGTGCGTGTGTGTGTGTGTGTCTATACACAAAGTTGACCTCCCCCGAAATTTTTAAGTCGAGCACGGAAACATGGCGCATCTTTGTTGAAACCCTTTCTTTGTGGTCAATATCTCTCATATTGCACAATAATTACAGCAAAGTAGCCGAATTCGTCCAATGCCGTCAGACTTCTTGTTTGATCGTACGCAGGTCCGAAAAAAGACACGTCTGTGTCTGGTCATCTCTCAAGTGCCGAATTGCAAAAATGACAAACTGGCCTTGAAGTAGACAAGGATCACCGGATTTCCCCGTAGGAGGTTGCGATCCACCGGTGGCTTCCATTGAAGTTGCCACGTTTCGAAGTTCCCAAAGGGAAATGGAAGAAACCCTCATAACTGGAACGCTTTTTACACTCAATAGATGGCACATGTGTACACCTGATTTTCTTCTGAAGGCCATAAGCAAATGGCACAATGGTGATGTGAATTTGCGCCATCTACCATGAAATCTGCCGAGAAGTGTGGCGCAAAGCCTAAGTACAGAGACAGCTCCGCTGATCTTTGCTTAGGCTGGTCATTCACCTTCACCCTAAACCAAAAACCAAGGGACCAAAACTCGCTTAACCACACCCTGAGCAACCCAGACACTTCCAAGGCCGCACACCGAGCACAAACAGCAAGCCAAGTCATGCCCAAAGTCAACCCCAAACCCACCCGAAAGCATATCAGCCCGTTGCCAAGACAGGAACCCCAAACCAACCCCCAAGACCCGCCATACAGACCTAGCATGAAACCCTGCAGTGACATTAGAGCCAATGTGCAGCCCCAGGTCCAAAGTATTAGGCCAGTGACGCTGGGAGTGCGGCTAACCAACCAACCAGCTGCGAACCAAAAACATACCAAAAACAACATCCGTTTCGCGGCCTAGACCAAAAAAAACACGTCCTTACTTGTTTCCTTACTTCACGCTTCAACTTTACATCCTTATTCTCCTTGCAGAAACTTACCATATGTTATTGCCTGCTGTGGATGGGCAAAATCCTGCACCACTTGGAAACATGGGCAACCAACCGTTGCTCGGCATCAGTGGAATCAGAAGCTCCGGTCTCTGAACGGCGCGATTTCGGTTTTGCTTCGACCATCAGAATGTCCAGCCGCGTGGCCACCAAGCGGTGACCTCCATCCGCCATCCCAGTCCCGACTCCCCGACTCCGACCGTCCGGGGCAGGCGCGAGGTCCCAGAAGGCCAGCGCCTCGTCCAGAGCCAGGAAGGAGCTCCAGTCCGCCAGGCCCGGCCAGTAGAAGCCGGCCAGGTCCCTCAAAGAGAAAACCAAAGAAAAATCCACCCAAACCTGCCAACACCAAAAAGCCCGCCAGAAACCCACCAATACTTTCAATACTAGGAACTTCCAACAGGAAGTTCCCTTGAAGCCAACTTCCACCTTTTCTGCAAGTGGGCCATCCAAAATTGACAACTTTCTTCAGTTTGAAGGGGGTGCCCGAAAGGTATCTTCCATTCTGACAAAGGCATCCTGGCGCCGCGAGCCCAAGTGCCCTGCGTAAAACCCTGGAAAGAGAAACTCCCTCACCGAGTCTGGGCAACCACTCAGAGCTTCAGAGGTGAACACAAGCTAGCCTGCAACGAAGACAGTACGACCCACTGCTTGAGAGGTGAGAATAGCAAGCTCAAGTACACGCACCTCTCAACATGTTCCTCAACATGCCACCCCAGAAAAGTCGTTAGCACCCAAACTTGGACCAGATCCCATTGAAAACGTTTCTCTGGTCATAGCGCACCACATTGCCCCTGACCGCAACAAGGCCAGGCTCTGCCAGGGCAAGGCCTTAAACTTTGGCGCACCACAAAAAGTTCAGCACGAGTTGCCCGTAGCCATGTGAGATCACCAAGGGCTCAATCCAGTCCTTTGGCAAACATGAATCGCCGATGTCTCAAAAAATCTGGCCAAATGCTGGGCTTTCCCTTTTCTGGCCTCCAAAAAAAAGCCATGCCTTTCAAACGGGTTCTCTCCAAAAACATGCCTGCACTCGTAGCTTCTTCTCCTGGTGCTGCTCCGCCACGTAAAGGAGCGCCGTGCCCTTGGGCCCGCAGAACCACTTATGGCCTCGGAGGAGGTCCCGGTTCGGATTCCTCGCCATGAAAGAATTGCTGGTGGGATAGGTAGGGAATGAGAAATGGAATGACAAGGACCCAATGATGATGACCATTCTTAGGTAAACAATCCTTTAGATGACCATCCTTGGTTATGTTAACCCAACCATTGTTTTAGTGTTGGTAACTGAACCCCACTGTGCCCCCCCCCCCGGCGCCGCCTATTCCGAGGCAATTTCGAGGTGAGTCCGAAGAATCCCAAGTGGTTCAATTCGGGAAGGCACTTGGGCGGCGTTTTTGTTGAGCGCCCAACGAACTGTCCAGGACTCTTCGTGCTCGTGGATTTTTGGTTGGCATTCGCCCACCTTCACCCCCCTCGCTACTTGCCCCGGGCTTCCCGGCAGTTGGTGACTACGGCATCCACTGGCAGGCTGCCAGGCCCGGCCAGCTTCATTGGCAGGCCTCAACATTCGCGCGCGCAAAAAACACAAAAACTTGGCCCCGCTTCATCTTGGGAGGCCGAAATCTATGTACTCTCTCAAGTCTTCCTGCCCTTCGAACTTGCGCCGGCCGCACCAGACCCAAATTTGGGTAGGCCCGGTTAGACAAAACCACTACCAAACCTGCTTCCACAAGAAGTCGGCTTTGATTTTGACTAAGATCCGCCATCTCCCGTACGAAAGTCCATGGCAAGACTGGAAGAGAGGTCACCAAGCATCCAATCCATCAGCAAATGGCTGATGGAAAAGGGTGTGTATCCTTTTCAGGTTGAAGGGAAACTCCCTTCGGCCCCACATGACCATGGGTAACTTTCCCCATTTAGTGGGAATCATCTTCTTCTTGGCTTTCCAGCCAATGGTCATCGGATATATTTCGGAACTTTTCACGCACTCTTCAAATGGCAGCGGAGCCTCTTTCTTCTCCCGAGGCGCCCATGAGCCCGTGGGCCGCGTCCAGCAGCACGAAGCAGTTGGGCGCCTTCTGGCGACACAAGTCCACCGCCTCCGGTGGCAACACCTTAGCCACAGGATGTGAATGTGGCTATGGAATTTTAAGAGTACGGGGTGGGCAACTCTCCATGATTCAACCTTTCAACTTGCACTGCTGCAATGGCCAGACATTTTCCTCAGCCACATCATTCTTCGATACCTTTCTAGGACTTTGGTGGACATCATTTAGGTGGGGATTCATGTCCACCGATCACTTGTGAGGAGGTTCCCCATTTTTTTTCATGGCCATGTGTCAATGTAGCTGTGGGTCAAAAATAGATACCCAAAATCGCGTGCCCTGGTAAATGGACATGAGGACTAAAACCTGCGGTCCCCTGCTGTTTTAATTTTGACCCATACTTATGTGGGAACCCGCCCAGAATCGCTGCGATCCCAAGGCAAAGAAGCCGAAAAGCGGCCCTCAATCAACAACAACTAGGCGGGCAGGTGAGTTGTCTGTCAAAGTCCCCGCCCAAGGCTCTCAAAGTTCAACAAAAGGACTTGGTGGACTCTCATTGCTTCTTGCCTGAGTGTTTGCGAGTCCTAGACATCCACTCAGAGCAATCTGGGCTGCAAACTTGAAAACCAGGACCAGAAACACCAATCTCTGCCAAGAATGGCGAGACGTGCTCCTCTGAGCAAACTGGATCCTTTCTTCCCGTGAGCCTACAGCGCTGGTCTCTCGCAGAGGTTCTCTCGTCTCCTTTCTTAGCGGACAGTTTTCAGAACAAACAAGCAGCCCAACCCGCGGAAAATCCGTGTCGCGCATGCCGAGCCACAAAAGGTGCGTTGGATGGAACCAGGTCCAGCACCACCAGGGTTGTGTCAGGCTGCAGAACAGAATCCAAGGCAGACAGGATCTGATCCTGGCAGCATCGAACAAAAGCAGTCACGGCTTTCGCATCAGACTGGCCTCTGTAAGGCACAAAACCTGACCAAGATGAAGGCAAAATGAAGCAAGCCAGCAAGCCAGCAAGCCAGCAAGCCAGTAAGCCAGCAAGCCAGCAAGCCAGCAAGCCAGCAAGCCAGCAAGCCAGCAAGCCAGCAAGCCAGCAAGCCAGCAAGCCGGCAAGCCAGCAAGCCGGCAAGCCAGCAAGCCAGCAAGCCAGCAAGCCAGCAAGCCAGCAAGCCAGCAAGCCAGCAAGCCAGCAAGCCAGCAAGCCGGCAAGCCAGCAAGCCAGCAAGCCAGCAAGCCAGCAAGCCAGCAAGCCAGCAAGCCAGACAGCAGCCAGCCAGCAAGCCAGCCAGCCAGCCAGCCAGCCAGCCAGCCAGCAAGCAAGCAAGCAAGCAAGCAACATGGCTGGCAAATCGCGAAGCTGAACCAGGCGTCAATGTCTTTTCACAGCCACGGATACTTGGCAATCCAAGCAATTCGAATGGGACTCCTTGTTGATGGTGCTTCAAACAAGGCACACTATATACATATATATTAAGAGGGCCTTCGCTTACCGAAACCGGGCCTCATCCGTCAGCGGAAACTCCAACACCGCCTCATCCACCTGTCCAGGGTCCAGGGTCCAGGTCTACCAGGAACAATGCAAGTACAACTCATGCCAATCGGTCACAGCTCAAATGCACAGAGAGTACAATAGAGAAAGCTGGCACCCTGATCCATCCAATTAGGTCTCAAATCCCGGAATGTTATTTCCTCATTGTCAAGTAAGCACCGACACATGACATGAGATTCGTTAGACAAACCCAAGTGCCTGGAAGCCAGACTCCTCCGCCAGCTTCATCACTAGCTTCTTGGTGGAGCCGTACGCCACCGACAACATGGCCGCGCCTCGGAATCTCGCGATCGAAGGCAACACCTCTTCCGCCATTGGAGCCAGCAAAAAAACCTATGCGGCAAGAGCAGACTGCGTCTTACACAAACAGCGCTTATCTCGATGAGCTCGTCGCAATCGCCCCCTCCCCAGGTCTCCAGGCGCTGGCGGCTTGGCGCTGTCCTCCGCTGCCAGGAGCGGAGGATCGCATTGGTCCCCACCGTGGCACTTGGCAGCGGCAGCAAGCGCTCGGGGGGGCCGTGCAGCAGCTGACAAATCCGCGCGCGTTCAAGCGGGAAACGGGGAAGGGTTTGAGGATTGGGAGGCCAACAGCCGAAGATCAACCCATTGAGCCTTGCGGTATGCATTTCTTCTAAACCCCTTCCAGATCTCGGCACCGGGGTCAACACTCCAGATCTGTGGGCGGCAGTAGTCTCCTCAAGAACCGTTGCCTTGGTTGTCCAAGCCCCTTCCCTCAGGAAACGGTCCTACCATGGCATGAGCCGGTACTGGCGCTTGGTCGGTGCTGTGTGCAAGGATCGCGGTTGCTAAGGCCCCCGTGTGAGCAATCGAGCTCAAGCTCTGTGCAAGTGGGAACTGCCTTCTTTCACAACTTGCAATAGCAAGGTTATAATTCAGTAACTGCTTATGTTCAAAGTGGGGAACGGGGTCTTGGCCAAGTTATTCACCTTCAAGTTCACCAATAGCAGCTTTGACAAATCCAAGAAACGTGTCTCTCCCAATGGCAGAACCCCCCATGGTCCTCCCCTTCCCCGACAGTCCCTCAAGTCTTCCGCCATGCCCCGCAGGCCCCTTTTCTTTCTCTCGCTCTGGTCGGCAATGATGTTTCATGGTTGCAACACCCTCCAAAATTGGTCGCCGGACTTCATGTTGACCCAGGATGAATAAACCCCGTCCCAATAAGGGGTGTCACCCACTGAATCCCGACTAAGGAGACACCCCTCAATCGAATCAAAACCAAACAGGGATTCTGCTTAGATCCGGGTCAACATCAATCCCATAATGGTGGCTTTTGGGTTTCCTTTCAAGAACAACCAAAAAAGAGGTGAGAGGTGCCCCCACAAAAAAGATACACCCATAGTTGCTTCCTGACAAACATTTCACCCAGGCCTGGCTCATGCCGCGCGTGACATCCACCAGCCACGGGAAAACTTCACCTATGGCCACAAACCGGACTTGACATTAAGTGGTGGGGTCCCCCAACTGGAAGTCTTGGAGAAAACTGGATTCCTGGAGTTCCAAGAGGGATGGACGATGTTGGTGATTGAAACCCACGACATCAGGCCAACTTCCCAACTTGGTTTGGGGCCCTTCGAGAACAACCCTAGCAGCTCTCGCGGAGTGCCACACCTGTTTTTCCCCCATGAAACCCACTGGCTCTGGCTCTGGCTCTCGCTTCCATCTCCGTTCTCCTTGATCAGCACCGTATGTATGTGTTAAGTGGAAGTGTAAGCGTAAGTGTAAGTGTAAGCGTAAAGTGTGTCTAAGTGAGTGTAACTGTGTCTAAGTGGGTGAGTGAGTGAGTGAGTGAGTGAGTGAGAGTGAGAGTGAGAGTGAGAGTGAGAGTGAGAGTGAGAGTGAGAGTGAGAGTGAGAGTGAGAGTGGGAGTGGGAGTGGGAGTGAGAGTGAGAGTGAGAGTGAGTGAGTGAGTGAGTGAGTGAGTGAGTGAGAGTGAGAGTGAGAGTGAGAGTGAGAGTGAGTGAGAGTGAGAGTGAGAGTGAGAGTGAGAGAGTGAGTGAGTGAGTGAGTGAGTGAGAGTGAGTGAGTGAGTGAGTGAGTGAGTGAGTGAGTGAGTGAGTGAGTGAGTGAGTGAGTGACTGCGGGTGTGTCTGTTTGCGTGTTTGTGTGTGTGTGTTTGTGTGCTTGTGTGCTTGTGTGTTTGTGTGCTGGCGTGCTTGCGCTTGTGCATTTGCTTGTTTGTGTGTGTGTGTGTTTCAGTCTTTGTGTCGTTGCATGGTGGTGTCTTTGTGTGGTTGTGTGTTTGCCTGGTTGTGTGTGCCTGTGTGTGTGTGCGCGTTTGTGTGTTTGCGTGCCTGTGAATTTGTGTGTGTGTGTGTCAGTTTGTGTGTTTGTGTGTTTGTGTGTTTGTGTGTTTGTGTGTTTGTGTGTTTGTGTGTTTGTGTGTTTGTGTGCGTGTTTGTGTGTTTGTGTGTTGTGTGTGTTTGGTGTGTTTGGTGTGTGTGTGTGTGTTTGGTGTGTTTGGTGTGCTTGGTGTGCTTGGTGTGCTTGGTGTGTTTGGTGTGTTTGGTGTGTTTGGTGTGTTTGGTGTGTTTGGTGTGTTTGGTGTGTTTGGTGCGTTTGGTGTGTTTGGTGAGTTTGGTGTCTTTGGTGTGTTTGGTGTGTTTGATGTGTTTGGTGTGTTTGGTGTGTTTGGTGTGTTTGGTGTGTTTGGTGTGTTTGGTGTGTTTGGTGTGTTTGGTGTGTTGTGTGTTGGTGTGTTGGTGTGTTGGTGTGTTGGTGTGTTTGGTGTGTTTGGTGTGTTTGGTGTGTTTGGTGTGTTTGGTGTGTT